ACACAATAAAAACACAATGTTTCCCTCCCACCCATACAGTTTCTTAAAAATCAGTGTCACTCAGCGGTGCTGTACCGCTCTGCACCTGCTGAACACCTTGCGGTAGCCGTGGCTGTAAGCGTAGTTTGTCAGTTTTTTATATGGGAAACTTGGTACCCATTCAAACTCCACATAGATGCTGTTCTGGCCTTTGTAGATGTGACCTTATTACCGAGATAACAATCCAAACAGGACTAATGTTACCAAAAGCAGTCCATGTTGGCTGAAATACAGAAGCTAATTCATTCCTTGATTTTTACTGTGCAGGCTTGTAGTCACTACATTGCAGTTTCAGACTGGATTAAAATTACACCAATTGTCGGTAATTGCTTCAGTTACATTACATCCCCAGGTAAAACTAATGCCATCCAAACAGGACTTAAGTGTTTGTGTTCATCTGTCAGACGGGGTTAAATATAGAGAAGAGGAAGGCGTGCACACTCACGGTGACTCATGGTGTCATGCGACTCTCACTCGTGACTTTTGGCCTTTTTCACACTCACGGTGATCAATGGTGTCATGCGACTCTCACTCGTGACTTTTGGCCTTTTTCTCTTTAGGGTGCCAAAGGGGAGACTGGAGTGGACGGCGAGAAGGTATAAAAACACCTGCAGTCTGTGGTAGCCAAGGGGAGTCCCCCCCTGCCCCCGCCCCCCCAGACCGAAACAGAACCGACACCAGTCAGCAAGTCAGACACTTTGCAGAAGTTCCACTTTTCACTTTTCCAACACAGCTCTTTTGAGACCACTTATCTGCTAGTGTTGAAACCCCCAATTGCCCAATTTTTAAAAATCCATTTGAGCAATGGGGACACCTCTGCTCCCAGTGCCAATTACTCTGATTGTGTCTCAGAGTCACCACAGGTCAGCTGTATAAATTTTGTGAAGATAATTCTATCTTGTTTTTCCTCTTTCTCCTCAGGGACCCAGAGGACCACAGGGGTCAAAGGGCACGAAGGGGCAAAAGGTCATGCCAAATCTCTTTGACAACCTTGCACTATTCCCTCATTATGCTTTTATCAGTCCTTAGAGCTAAAGCAAACCTCTCTGCAGATTTTTCCCTCTTGATAATTGAGCACACAGCCTTGTGTCCTTATTCCGGCATGTGTTGTTTTCAACTATCTTCGTTTAAAAAAAAAATTCATTCTGTAACAGGGTAGCGCCGGTTTCCGTGGTGATAAAGGGAAGGTAAGTGCTACAGATTCTTTTAATTTCAGCCAAAATGTGATTTCACCGGAGCAGAAATCTTCTATCTTAAGTATTTTTTTTTTTGACTCCGCCAAGAAGTCTGAAAATTTTTAATAATGAGCATAGAAAGTTTTTCAGAGACTAGGAAATAAAATAAACCTTAGATTTAAAATGATAATCCACTGTAAGAGAAGAATAAAACTTGTAAACTTCTCAAAGTAAAAAGTGTATCATGGTGCACTAAAAAGTCGATATGAGTAGCATTCTGGGGGGGGGTAAGCCATAACTCTCTACACTTTCCAGCGTGGTGAGAGGGGCTTTGCGGGACCTCTTGGAGGTGTTGGCCGTTTGGGCCCCCCAGGAGTGCCGGGTCCACGGGGCAATCCTGGTGCTTTGGGCGACTCCGGAGTTAGGGGCACCCCAGGACCCAAAGGAGTACCAGGGCCCCCCGTAAGTAACATGGCCCATACATGGTCAACAAAACAGTACAAAAAATACAGTTTAAGATGTAACATTTGCCATGTTTCAATTCAGAAATTCAATAAAATAAGAGTCAGAGGATACAGGCTGTTTCATTTCTGATTGGATATGATATCGATCAGTTTGTTTAAAACTATCCAACTTTTGTAAACAAAAATTGAAAATTGAACTGATGCCATCATATCATGTTTGGACAGGATTTCTGATTCGCTTCGATTCTTCCTGTCACTCCTGCTAAGATGATTTTGACTGCAGACACATGCATGCACAGTTAACTCCTCGCTCGTTTTTAATGAACACACTCATTCCCAGACCTCCAAGGCCATAATTTCCTTTACCGAGACATTAGAGTCAGCATATACTCTTGACTCATGACAATTACAAGTCATCGCTTATTTTCACGGTGTATAACATGACCTGTAAATAGATGATTAAACAGAACAGCCCCACCTTAGATAAAATGACACGTGTGGGTCCCTGCAGGGCCCAGGACTCTCCGATGAACAGGTCCTCCAGCTCTGCCAGGGTGTGGTGACGGCTCAGATCTCGCAGTATGCTGTGTCCATCCGTGCCAAATGTGCCCAGGGCTGCCCCGTCAACCACCGCACCCTGATCGGACCCCCTGGGATCAGGGGCCCACATGGAGCCTCCGGCAAACCCGTAAGTGCCAGGGAGTGGGTGGGGGGGGAGGTGTGTATTTCCATAATAGCTAAAATGTCTCGTATAAGTGGTTTGCTGTTTGTTTTGGTTTGGATCCTTTATTGACCCGCTCTGATCCCGCATGATACCCCCCAGGGGAAACCTGGCAAGTCCGGCTCCAAGGGAGCCAGTGGGCCGAGGGGGGACACGGGATTCCCAGGCCAGGAGGGCGCAGCAGGACAGAGAGGTAGGACAGGGCCCACAGAACCCTGCTTGCCAGACAGCTGTCATCCTCTGCTCCTTCCTCACTCGTCTTTCCTTGTAACCATCAAGACGAAACTCCCCATTGGTCTGAAGAATAATCTGATCAGATTTTACTGTGTCCTTAGATTCATTTATACTAGTAGTTTATAGAATTTATACAGTAGGTTAAACGATGTAATTATAGGCAGAACTGGCCACTAATCGAGTGCTAATGTGCCATTAAGATAAACTTTATTAAAATTCTTGAAAATTATTATCCAAATTCGTGACTCATAGATCCCAGTGAGGATTACATTTCTGCTCTAACCACTGATCTGTGGAGTCTACTTGTTTGTGTTTTCCTGTGCCACCTTCCCATCAATGATTTAATGCCCCGTCCTCCTCCTAGGCCAGAAGGGCACCAAAGGGGTGCGAGGTGACCCTGGCACAGGGCTGCCAGGAATCGACGGATACCAGGGCCTCAGAGGTGGGGGCAATCGCAGCAGGGTGGGGAGGGTTAGGGTGGAGCTCTCAGGCACGGAATGTGGGTATTAAACTGGAGGAACCTTGTATTCTGAAGTACGGGACAGGAAGCCTGATGTAGATATCACAGTGATGTGAATGAAATCTAATGGCACCATCAGACACAAAGGAATGATGTATGTGTATTTGAGAAGGTCATACCACTGTGGTAATTCACCTTTTTATAATTGTTTCTTTCACAGGCTTTCCGGGGCACCCTGGTCAGCCGAAGAATGGGACAGATGGTCCCATGGGTCCCCGTGGACACCCAGGCCCAATGGGCCAGTCAGGAGGGGCTGGGCTTGCTGGGGTGCCGGGGGTGTGCGAGGCTCGAGATTGTAGCATCCATGCCCCAGTGATGCGGAAGGAGCAGGGCCTGGTGAAGGGACCACTCAGTCCCAACATATAGACACGTCATGGTGGCACAGGGTTGCCTTAAAGCTGCTCATAAACACAGAACTATACCCATAATCCCCCAGTCTGACCCTATCCATCCTTGCCTTACAGTACGCTGAACTTACCCACCCACAACCCTACCATAATCCATCCAATATTACCCATACTGCCTTGCTAGCTTTAGTTGTTACACCAGGGGTAGGTAACCCTCAGAGCTGGGAGAAACACTGCTCTAATTACCCCCAGAGCCCCCAGCATGAAAGACAGCCGCCTGAATAAAGTCGGGAGAGGAGACTGAAATTAGTTTTCCCATCACATAATTCAGTTTTTGATTGACTTTTATTTTATTGATGCCCTCATTCAAGAGATGGTTTATTTTATTATTTCACATTTTTATCAGTACAAGGACAAAAATAATGTAAATATTTTTTAAAAATATATAAACATTCATAAACGTTTTCTAATTCGCTTGTGTGATAAAAACATCTCTGTTGCATTTCAAGAACACGGCTAACTGGGGATTTGAGCAGTTAATTTAAAATACTCAACGTTAAGAAGCAGTTTCCGATTCTGCTGCACTTCACATCTTCTTCAGGAGTTATATTAAGAATATAAAGTTTATACTGAACATCTGCCAAAAACTGTTAGTATAAAAATATGCACAAAAAACAAACACTGTTGTGGTTCTGTGCTTTTCAGCATGAGGAACTCCAGGTAAAGGAGATGTAAACATTCACTTAAGTGCACCTGAATCCGCGACCATAACAGTACTTGCTGTGTGTTTTACTGCATGTCAGTTAGTGCTTCTCCGTGTTTACATCCATTTCCAACACCTTCCTCCCATGACCCAAATCCTGGATGCCAAATAGAATGGCTATTGGAATGGGTATTACAGAGAAGAATAAGATAATAGAATAAGATCTTGGCAAGAAATTAATGCAGATCAGGATGAAAATAAATGTTGAGGTGTTGCATAAACTTGTGGAAACAATGCCCTGACAAATATGCACCATAATCAAAGCTAATACACAGCCTATAGTTATGTACTGGCCCAACAAAATATTAAAGTGCAATATAAAATAAAGTGTAATATTTTTTGTCCAGACACTGAGTATATAATGGAAACATTTACATATAAAAATATATTTGCATAAATAACACAAGAATGTAAAAAAAAAAACAAGCTTAGGAAAAAGAACTATGCTGGAATTTAAGAAAATTTCCAGAAGTGGAACAGAGAGATGTGAAACCAATAGCAGCATATTATGACAGTGGTGAGGAGTCCGTCCATCCATCCATCCATCCATCCTCTGAATGATGTCTGAGTGCCTTTGTATTTCTACTCAGACAGCCCTCTACCCCATAAGTAGCTTATGCTCCTCCTTCTTCGCACTGCATGCCCTACTACACCTCACAGCAGCTACAGGCAAGGCTGTACGGACCAGGCCCCTCATCACCCAACAGCATCTGGGTTTGGGCTGGTCAGTCTACAGTCACATCTCAGGTGTGCAGCACCATAAATCACATTCACACTCAGGGCTGTAGCTAACAGTCTTTTCTTTGAAAGAATTATGTAACTCATATGGGCAACTATCTGAACAAAACAGTTCAATGAGAAATTAATCTGATGTCTAAATCATAAAACATTTTGCATCATGTCCCGCCCACTCGACTAAGAGCTGTATACCCTGAACAGTTTGAGGTCTATCTGGGCTGGTCTGGCCAGAGTTAGGCCCCTTGGCATCTACGGATAACGGCGACAAGACAAATCACAATGGCAATCAAGCAGAAGATCACCGCAGTCACGATGAGGCCTGTGTTGGGAGAGAACGGGACAGCACACCATCAGGGCGTCAGGTCGGGACGCCCTGGGGAGCAGTGAGGGCAGCTGGAGATATATTAACTAAAAAGCATGGAGGGATGTACTGTACCTATGTGCATGTCAGTACTCTCCGGATGGTCTACACAAAACGAGAAAAGACAAATCAACTCAAATTCCAATATTTTATTCAACTGCCCTTGTTTATGCTGTCAGGGAGTTCTTCGGGTTCTTCAAACTGGTTACAAAACTACCAGTACAGCAGTGGGTGGTAACTGGCTTATGAACTGCACCATGCTAACTGAAATCTGACTTACTGGCAACCAGTATGAATCCCTCAGCCCAATCATACATAAAGCTTTAAATGTTCTGGTAAGTCCTAAAACCAAAGGTCATGCTTCGCTTAGCCTGCACCTCAGTAAACATCGCATGGCTGAACTTTACTAAGAAGTGACATTTTCCTTATTACTACTTGCATGATATTTTTATCTAATGGCACTCTCACTTTTACTCATTTATACAGCTGGATCTTTTGTTATTTTGGTGAAGTACTTTTCCCAAGGGTACAACAGCAAGACCCGACCTGGCAGCCAGAACTTGTAACCAAAGTTTATGTCGTTCACCACAATGCATATTTAAAGGCTTTACCTTGTACAGGGGATGATGAATCTTTCTTTCCTACAAAAGGAGGGGTAGAAACAGGAAGTCAGGGCCACTGATGTTTTACATTTACATTTACCTTCAACTTCGATGGCTAAAGTAAGAGTGAAAATAGCGTCATAAAAATGTGAGAAAAAGTGTTTTATTTACTTAGGTCACTGTCTCTAATATGAACCGCATGGATGAGACCGACAAAAACATAATACACTAACCACATCACCAAAGCACATTGAGGAGGAAGAAAAATGTGTCTGCATGTGACGGCATAAAAAATCTTGCTAAAACTCTGAAAAACTCCACTCTGATCTGATGGGGTTCCTAAAACCAGCCATTTCAAGGAAAAAGCAGATGAGAACAAATAACCAAACAAATAACTATTAACTTCTTTATTTCTCCTGGGGAAATTTGTTTTGGTTGGTTTGAATTTATGTGAAAATAAAATTACTTTTCAGTGGATTTCCCTGAGCTGTGTTTGTGGTCCCTACAAGACTTCAGGGAATTCAGGCATAACAAAAGGCTTTTGTTCAGGGTGAACTTCCATTTAAAAACAGACAGCAGTTTCATTGCTACGCAGAAACGATTCGGAACTGAAACTGAGGGACATATCCGTCTATCTTCCATGACTGCTTATGCAAACAGGCGTCACGACGGCCTCAAGCTGTCACCCAACCCGCATCATTATGCTGCAGCAGGGAAACCAAAATATGGAAAGAAAACCCAGATAAACATGTGGGGGAGCACACAGCGAGAGTCGAACCCACAACCACGTGGAGGTGGGAACAGAATAACCCGATTGTAAGTGCCCGTGAGATGCAGAGTGGGGGCATGCAGACTTACCAAAGAAAATGATTCTCTTCTCAGTCAGCACATGCTGTTTATTAAGAGAAAATAAGAATATAAATGATGATTTTGATAACTCAAAATGGGGTGGGTGGGGGGGGGACAGAACCAGAACTCACGCTCCCACAGGTGATGGTGAGGACAACGCTGACACACTCGCTAAGGGTGATCCCTCCACTGGAGACGTTCACACATGGCACAGCACACTGGACATCATTATGATTGTAAATCGCGATGGTCTAAAGGAGAGCAAACGCACACATGTTACTGCAGCACCGAGGCTTCCAGTCGCCTGTCACCTCCGTCACCTTTACCCAATCAAACAGCTCAAAGAGTTACAGTGGACATTCTGATTGCAGTGCCTTTCCACTGCAGCATAACACTGGACATAGCTACATTTGATTAGCCTAGCAATGCTTTTATCCAAAATAATGTACATTTTTGAAAAAGCAAGTTCAGCATTCCTGCAGCAATTAAGTTAATGGTAAAATCACTCTGCCAACCTTGGGATTTGAACCAATAACCTTCTGACCATACACACAGCATCCTAACCTACTGGGCCATACACTGTCCGCACTGACACGCTCTGATGCAAACGAGTGACTCCAAGACGGCATTACGCTCGAGGGGGTTCAGTCTCACATCCGATAATTTTTTGATAACCATTCATCTATAAAACTGAATTTCATCCTTTTCTTCCATATGTTAACTTTAAAATTAACATTTCTTTCCAATTTGTATCCAAGTATACCCCTTCAGCCGTCAGCAACCATCTAAAAAAAATATGAATTTCCTACAAGTTAACATCTTCAGAGTCAGACATCAAAGAAGTCTGGTCACACAATATGTATTTTAATAACTACTGTATCTACAAAAATTGTGCAGATATACAATAAATGGCTGAAATGGCTGCCGCTGATGTAATACAGAAGAAGCTGAGAATTTAGGGCACATACATGTACATACTAACACAATCAGACTGTACAGACTATCCAGAGGAAACCAGAGTACATGGAAAAAGCCAACATGACATGTGGAGAATCCAAACAGGGGGAGGTGGGTCACTGATTGTGGCTTTTACCCACAAACCCCCTCACAGTCACATGACATGGGGAGAACATGCAGAATCCAAACAGGGGGAGGTGGGTCACTGATTGTGGCTTTTACCCACAAACCCCCTCACAGTCACATGACATTACAGACATGATGATCCTCTGAGAGACCTCGGAGTCACATGGACTTACGCTGTTATGCGTTGCCCATGTTTGCTCGCAGGTGAGGACATTTCCAATCTCATGCTGGATGGTGAACACGGCTTGGCTGTCAGGACATGGGAAGGACTTGGTGACGTGTCCTGAGCAAGTCCCTGAGAAAGGCAGATGAAAACACGGAGTGTGTCAATCAAGTAATCATTAACTAGCACTCCTGCTCTCCGTGACACATGCAAAGCCCTGAACTGGAAATGCTTGTGAAATATTAAATACCCTGAGCAGTAGAAAGTTTAATACTGGACACTCACACACATGTAGCGTATATCTCTGGAAGGAGGGGACAAGCACACAACGATGCTTAACCTAACTGCTATTTCCTTTGCCATTTCATCAGTGACGTCTGATACGTCATTAGAAATCCCCGATCGCTGCCACGCCCAACTCGCTCCCCAGCGTGCTTTCTAAAAAAAAAACCCACGGAAAACACCTTCAATTCCCACTGTATTTTTCAAGATTTTAATCTGAGGTACTCAGCCAAACTAACATAAGCACATATAAAATCAATTCAATTTAAAAATAAATTTACAGTAAATCAACAGTGGATTGTGTAAAAACAAACGTCAGTGTACGACATAAACCATAACGAAGAACGCATCACGAAGGGTAACAGAACAACGAACACAATACAAAACATCACAAAAAGATAAAAGAAACGAAGTGCGAGATGCTCTAATGGATCCGCTTCCATTGCGTCGCAGGCACTACGAGCGATGTCGCGTAACAAATACATGATTAGCGAGCTGCACCGTGCTTAGTAAGGGAAGGCATTCGGTAGCTTTAAAATGCACTGGCCGAAGACACGAGACAAGTGCAGTAACCTAAAAGTGCACTTTTGCGATTCATACTGTAGGAATGCTATTATTGCTTAAAAATAAAATAAAAACATGCTTAACTGTATAAAAAGGATACATACACATGAACGCCAAAAGCATGATGCACATCAAGGTCATCTTGCTCAGCAAGTTGCTGTCTTCCATATTTGTTTATGATCTGAAGGAAACTTTTACTGTAAGGAAGTAGGCTACTTTCTCTTTCCGGTCCCGGAGTTTCCCGAATTATGTAAACTGAATCATTATACATAATGATCTTTGGTTTCTGTATTAATTATGCATGGGAGACGCAGGCGGATTTAAAATGTTTAATTATTTTAAATTACATATATGATAAATATAAAATTGTGATTCATGCAGTTCTGACATAACTGACAATGACATAATGGCATATTCCTTTACGGCTTTACAGGAATTTAAAAAAATTAAAGGAATTCTGTGTGTGACAATAATTTTCGCAGGGCAGTTATACGTTTGTTTTTACAACCAAAAGCCGAAAAAAGCAATCCAAATGATTACCACTCAGACATTCAGAGTGATTCATTCTCTAACAACAGATTGCTATTTATATTTAAAGTACCTTGACTCATTTTCTTATAGTAGCCTATAGGTTTGCCACCCAAAATATAAAATACCACACTTGTCATGATATCCAGCCGTCTTTTATCCGTTAATATATTATACAAGGTCGCGGATTATAGAATAGGCTATAACCATTCATCCATCTAACCATGCATCCATCCTTTTTATTACATTATTATAATCAGTGCCGTAGGTAGGTGTTAAATATAGGTGTCAATAGCCTACTGCTCGGGTGATTCACCGGCAGTAAATGAAACGTAACCTATCATCTTAGCTTGCATGAAAAGGGAAGTTAGCTGCTTTTGCTTTCGATGTGCACTAATATAAGGCGCCCATGACTAAGACGCGGCAGTCCTGAACATGTGCACCATGCTCTCAGCCATCCTCCTGCTCGCACTGGCTGCCTTCCCCGGCCATGCGGACTGCAGCGCGCCGGCGGCCGACTCCACGTGCGGCGAGAAAGCGGTCCTAAGGTGCGGCGCTCCGGCGGAGCCCGGCGTCCAGTACAGGCACCTGACATGGTACAAGGTGAGTGTTCACCCGACCGCTAAGAAGAAAAAGAGCCACCGCTTTATAATTTAGATGTTACCTTTATTTATTTGGAAGGAGATACACTTCCAGTAACGGACAAGTAACACGTGCAAGGTGGTTTTAGTAAGTAAATGGCTGATAAATGGTTAGAGGCATTATATGATTTTATGATAAAATTTCATTATAGCATATTTCAAAACTTTAGAAATTATAGGCGGGTGGGTTCGGTGCATTTTGCAGTACTTTCTTTGTCTAGCTCCCATATTAATTGATTCTCCCTTGTTCCTACCGCTTATCCGTCGGTCTCCCCGGTTCTAAAGGCGATTTGCTCTCATTCTGCTCCTCCAGATTACGGACGATCCGCAGTCATCGCGCAAGGGTCTCATCAGCAGGAACCTGTGGTCCAACTCCACCAAAACCTACAGCCAGCTGGAGCGGCCCGTGTTTTTACGCGAAGATTCCTCCGACCTCGTCATTTTTAACACAACCGCGCAAGACAGTGGGCATTACTGCTGCCTCTTAAGCGCCCCTGTGGGACACAAGAATCAGGAGGCCTTTATCCGCCTCAAGGTATCCGGTGAGTCCTCTTGACTTGTTATTATAGTGATGATGCTGAAATTCTGCTGAAGCCTGACTATAGTTGCACTTGACATACACTGTAGGACCCTCAGAGTTGGGGTAAGGCCATCCCCTGTCCAGAGAGCAGCTCTTTAACTGTGACTGTATGATCTGTCTCCTCCAGGCTGCCTCGAAGAACAGGCGGGGTCTGAGGGACTGTGGTTAGAAATTATCCTCTTCCTGGCTGTGGCTCTGTCACTGGTGATATGTTTTATTTGCTGGGTAAGTAAAACCCTCACCAAGGATCAAATCACTTTAAATTAAATAAATGTATTATCTTTATCTTGCATTCATCATAACTGACTCATGAATTTAATGGTTGCTGTGTAGACAGAACCTCACCCAGACATCCTTCAACCCCATGAAATGTAATTTACCCCTGGATAACACAGTCCAGAGAGTGGAAGATCAGAGTGTTCTCTTTTTTTGGCAGGTGTGTCTGAGGAACCTGTCGGTTCTGCGTGAAAGTAGGAAGCAGGGTCCCAGTGAGAAGAAAAACCTGAGGCTGATATACTCCCCCAGCTCAAAAGGTCCCTCCTACCAGCACGTGTGCGTGTGATTCCTTCAGAGCCAGTCCTGGGTCTCCACACTGAACGTCCTAAGGGCCGGGTCGGGCTGGCCCAATGAAGAGGACCCGCGCAGGCACCCTACAGGATGCTGGGTCTCGTTTGGATCAGTCACACCGTGACTGTGAGCCACATGGTGCTAGCAAACGGCATTACGGAACGGAAAATGAGGCAGCATCGCATGAAGCTCGACGCTCATCAGAACGGCGGTAGATGTTCAAGCTCGTGCTGAAACACTAGAAGATGTAGCTGCTTTACTTTGATAGTGACTCATGCAGGTCTTTTGTATCGCTTTTGAATATTAGTTCTCAATTTTTGGATTTCTTTACTATTTGTCACTTATTCCTTTTTAAATCTTCATTGCTTTACTGTGACGATCCCGACACGATCGGGTTTCAGAGGGGGGAAGCTGGACCTTTACAAGTAAACCAGACTACAGACAACATCTAGCCGTGCGAGGAATTCAGAGGCTGTCATCCACTGAGGAGTCACTAAACTCGCCACTTCGAAATTAAACCTGCAGTCCAAATGTGTGACATCTTCAGACAGTGGGATATTCCACTGTGTTACTGGTACTGAGTAATTCGCGACAGAACCATCAACCATGGTCCACTCATCCGTCAAATGACTGGAATATGTAAGAATCCACGTGCTATAGTCGCAGTTAAATCTGCAGCCATCCAGTATGGTAGCCGTAGATACAGGATATGCATAAACCAAAGACAATGCATCATAATTTGGAAGCCAGATTTATGACTTAAAAGGTACAGCATGGAAAGAATGGATGCAATGAGGATATGGGCACGAAATGCGAGGCACGGCCGACCACATGGCAGAAGGCTCCATCTGTTTCTGTACGGGGCACTGCATTGATATTTCTAGAACGTTCTTTGCTCCATTTTGCACCATCAGAATCTTCCCTTCTGTCTGTTCTTGCACCCATCTTCCAACTGTCTGTTCTGGGCCTAGAGGGTCCTGGAGTGACTCAGAGAAAGAACAGGGAACAAGCCGGCGGTACCAGAGGAGAACGTGCCAACTCCCAACCAGAGCAGAGGCAGGAGTCCAATGCTTTCTGCATGTCCTGTCTGCCCTCGGTACCTGCAGGGATTGGTGCCGGAACCCCCGACAGATACCAAAATCCTCGGATTCTCAAGACTCTTGTATGAAATGTAATGGTATTTGCATATAAACTACACTCATCCTCCTGCATACTCAAAATAATCTCCAGATTACTTAAGTACCTAATACACTGTAAGTGCCGTGTAAATATCGATACCACTTTACAATAAGGCTCCATTTTGCCACTTGTAAATGGTAGTAACTCATTAATAAGAAGAAAAGTGTGTTATATCTTGTTTAAAATTGTCTATTAATGATTTACAAAGTGTTACAACCTAATAAATAACCAGATTATAAACCATTCATAAACCCTCTATATGGGTAGCCTTATTGTAAAGTGGAACCTAAATATTTGTTACATTGTGTTCTGTTTTGTACATGTTCAGTACAGAGAGTATATAGGAGTTTATGTCCCACACATTTCATTCACATGTAGGACTTGGTGACCTTTTTTGCTTTTTGGTCCTTTTTTTGTTAAATGTTTTGGACCCACAGTTGGTTGAATCCTTGGATGTGGATTTTGAGGGCTGATATTTCTGTATTTCTGTCTCGTAACATGTAACCACACACCTTAAGTATGTTCAAAGCCTGTCCAGTATTCTTATCAATATTAGTTGATGTCGCTTCACAATAACACTGTACCTACCAATGATGTGTTGAGTGGATTTCTGTGGTAGTACATTTCAATCTGAATAAATGCATCTGCAGAGTGAGACATGTGACATGAATGGCAGTTCTGTCAGTGGTTTTTATAAATTCCATAAATCCCATGATTGCAAACACGCATATGCATACACATAAACAGTCATAATTTATTTATGCTGTATTATTTATAGTATATTTTTGTGGGAGAACATAATTTTGTTGAGGCAGCTTCCTCAGCCATCTCCTGAGCTCATGAACGGCTCTGATTGGCCTGGCTTTTATCTAGACTTTTAATTCTTCATGCTTGCGAGGTGTAGCAGACTGTTCCCTGTTTATGAAACTGGTTTGTTTTCAGGCCGCTGGGCCTCATTTCTGTTTGGGGCCTAATCTTGGGTGAGATGCCAGAGGCCTCACAGCATCCTGGGGTTCCCCTTTGAGTCGAGGGCCAAGATCAGCATCCACTTTGGGGTTAGGGCCACTGGGAAGCCTTCCAAACATCTGGGATCTGGCAGATTGTGGAGAAATGGCCAATGGAAATACTTAAAACAACCAAGCATAAAAACAACATAAAATAAACAAAGCATTATGTTAAAATATTATACAAATGGGTACAAACTTGTATATAAGTCACTTGTATAAATCCATCTATCTTCCAATCGCTTATCCTGGACAATGTCTTGGGGGACTGAGCTGAAGTTAGTCCGACATAAGGTACAAACACACAGATGTGCAATGGGCAATTCAGAGACCGCAATTCAAAAAGAAAAAGAAACTTTATTTGCCTTTTCCACAAATGCGTTGGAATGTTCCTTTTTGTATATCCCACCTCATGCTTCTTTGAGACATGCACACACTCGTACAGGTAAGAGCACAAAACTCGGGCACCAAATACCCAGGGACCCTGGGGCATTATTCTGGGTCAAGGCTACTGGCTCAAGGCTCCAACAGACGTGCCACCGTTCTGCCAAGCACGGGATTTGAAAAGGAGACCTTCTGATCGCAGACACGGCGGCCTTAGCTGCTGCAGCTCACGGCAGCACCCACAGAGAGCAGAAATGTAATACAGGCAGTCCCTGGGTTAACAGCGTCAGATATAGGGATAACTCGTACTTACGAACGGCTATTACAATGGTTCGTAATAACGATCGCACACAATTTGACGCCATTCGCCACGCGATCCTTCTGGAATCTAATTAAAGTCATGTCTTTGGATCCCAGAAGGAAACCTGAGTAAAAATACGACAGGGACAGTATTTGAACCGTCATCCCTGGAGGCACGAGATGACAGCGCTATAGACTAATCTATTAATTAGTCCGATGGTAACTGACGTAATATAAATAAATGATTTTCGCATTGCATATGAAATAATGAAATAAAATAGTATCACACTTAAGGCTACGGCCGCATTTTAAGCCATATGAGATTTGACAGGGTATTTTTTAATTGGCCAGGGTTGACAGGGAGTCAGACAATTATTAGATTCCAGTCAGATCGTATTTCGTTACCCCGCTTCGATAAACCCGGAATTCATTAATGTATTTAACTAGCCGCCTAGGATTTAATCTCCACCAAATGTTTTCTTCGGCATTCCTTTGCCGAAACATTTTGCTAGCTTTGTAAAAATAATTGTCTCCTGGGTTCATCCCACAAATTCACTTTTTTCCTAACTTTGTGACTGTTTACTTATGTTGGCATGCTTGCTGTGAGCAAGCTGAATCAACACGATGGATATTTCGCATTTTATCCTCCTTTATTTTATTATAAAGGCTACCCCCTCTTTTATCAGTAATTTGCTAAGGTTCGAACATTGAGCAAGAAAATCGATTAATTGGTCCATGCTCAAATATTTTACCAGAGTTTGAGATTTCGTAAACATGCTGTATGACATTTTTATGGAAAAGTAACAAATGAGCAACCGCGGGGTTCATTTTACAGCAACAAAGGGGCAGAGAGGAGAATATCTACGACAGCAATTTGCTTTTCTGGCATTTTAAGGTCAACTGCACCGAAAGCGACGCCTATTATTACATATATGAGACCAACCCGTTAGACAGGTAAACTATCTTTTTGGAATCATTGTGGAGTTCAAGCACTTTATTGTCATTGTGTAGCACAACGTAATTACTTTTATGACAACCCCAATGTGCATTAATAAATACAAAATAGGCAAAAAAATAAATAAATAAATAAATAAATAAAATAATCGTACAAAATATGTCAAAGTATTTGATATACACGTTTTGTTTTTAAATCTTGGAACAGATTATGTCTAACGGGTGCAGAATATTATGGCTCTAGCGTACAATGCAATTGACATCATGCAATTGACAAAACGCTGCAGAGTCGTCTTAGGAACAATCAAGACTTTGAACGGTATTTAATCAAGCTTATCAGGATTTTGAGGGATTGCATATGTTTGTCGAGAGAGTACTAGATCACACTTGTCAGCGAGAAAAATGTAATTTCAGGCTTGGTTGTTTGCCGAGAAACCGGAGACTGTCGGCCGGGGAGGTGTCGCCGTTGCCCGTATAAAAGCGCCCTAGCTGAGGACGTCCTTAGTTCGTACACAGGGACCCTCCGGAACACCGCTGCCCAGCGCCGAACCCTCCATCTGCCGTAATGGTGAAGTGACTGACGGTTTACTTTAAATTAAACGACATTTCTGATAATTTCCCGGAATTATATTGCATTCACTAGGCCTATACAATCCTTTTGAAAACTTTTTTTGTTGCATGTTAATATGTCGGACAATGAATGCGGCACGTTTACAACGCTGTCATATTATTCATGATATAGATTCCGGGAGCCATTCCCCCATGCTTCCATATATGACGATAAACTGAAATAATGGACTAAATGTCTTAAATGAACATCCTGGTAAGTGCATTTCTCCTTTCAGCTGTGGTGCGTGCTGGTCCTTTTTCTTTCGTGGTCAGAAGTGCACAATTTCCAGTTTGAGGAGCTCGCCCAGTACATCGACAGCCACCAGGAGCAATATGTGGAGGCAAGTTCCCTTCCAGGGTGTAGTACTATATTTTTTATCTCTAAAATGTTTCAAAATATAAATGAAATGTATAAATCCACAGTTGGTTGTTGTTTTGTCGAAATCTTTCCTACCCCACACAGAGTTTGTGGTCACTAATTGTCAGTGGTATGAGTCTGCGGACTGGGTCTGATTTGCCCATGTCACTGGCTGTGTCTCTGCGTGTGCCTACCTGTCTTTGTGTGTCAGACCCTAAGGGAGTGGATCGCTATCGAGAGCGACTCCAGTGATGTGCAGAGGAGAGCAGATGTACAGCGGATGATGAGCGTGACTGCAGAGAAGCTGCGGAAGATGCAGGGGAATGTGGAGATGGTGGATATCGGTCTCCAACAGGCGAGTGCAGTGGCGAGTGCAGTGGATAACTGGGGGTGTGAGGAATCCTTCGGGGTGTGGCAGTGCCAGTGGCACAAACTGCATACCACTGAGTGTGCGACATCTGTTCCCAGCTCAGTGGCAAATGAGCTGACCAGTGACCACTGACCAGTGTGGCCGTTTTGGAAGCAGATTTGACAATCTGTTGTCATCTGTTTTTGTACATGTCATTTATATGTCTGTCAATCTTATGTTTGTATTGATGCTTCTTCATTATGTCCAGCTACCTGATGGTACAACCATCCCGCTACCCAAAGTCGTCACTGCGCAGGTCGGCAGTGACCCCAGCAAACTCACGGTCTGTGTGTATGGTCATGTGGATGTTCAGCCAGCCAAGAAGGAAGACGGATGGGCCACAGATCCATACAATCTCACCGACATCAAAGGCAGGAACCTTCTTCGGAGCCATCGTTGCCAGATTAATGCATTGCCAATGCCACTTCTTCTATCTTTAGCGATTATTATCTTCTAACTGCATGTGGATATCAAAAGTGCATCCTAGGTAGTATATGTTGGCTGAAGAGCTACATGTTTCTCCTGCAGGAAACCTCTATGGGAGAGGAGCTTCAGACAACAAGGCCCCAGTTCTGGCCTGGCTTCATACCGTGGAGGCCTATCAAAGTCTCAGCATTGTGAGTAATGAGGTTTGAAAATCCCACGTCAGAATGCAAACAGGACAGAACCGCAAGCCCCTTCTAGTTTGGCGCCTCATCCTGAGTTGTTCCCCGCCTTGCGCCCATAGCCTCCAGGACGGCTCTGGATCCCCCACAAGCCTGAATAGGATAAACAGTTACAGAAAATGGATGGATGGGACTTTTGGCAGGAGACTGATCTATGGCTTAGACACATGATTCCAGCAACAGTAGTTCACTTTTTTCAACCCCATAGAATGATGCTGAAAATCGCGGTAAACTTGGGTCCAAATTGCTCCAGGACCTTAATAAATCTGGAAAAACTACAATGTTTTACATGAATGGATGGATGGATGGATGGATGGACAGACTGGGATATGTGTGTAGGGAGCAGTGTGAGTCTCAGAGGGTTAGAAAGCTATGCCTGTAATTGGAAGGTTGGTTTGACTATTGGGCCCTTGAGCGAGGCTGTTACCGCCCCCCCCCCCTTAATTCCCAGTTGCTCCAGGGACTGGCTGACTGCTTTCTCCAAAAAAAAAATGTATATAGAAGCATCTTCTAATTAAATGTACATTTAGTCAGCGTTTTAACCCTGTGTCCTTGTCCCGTGCAACCAGGATCTACCAGTTAATGTGAAGTTCATCATTGAGGGAATGGAAGAGACGGGTTCGAATGGCTTGGACGCCATGGTGGAAGCCCATAACGAGACTTTCTTCTCCGACGTGGATTACATCATTATATCTGACTGTGGCTGGCTCAGTCGCCGCCCGGCCTTGACTTACGGCACTAGAGGAAACTGCTACTTTTTTGCTGAGGTGGGGAGACCAGCTTTAACTGCACAGTCTTTGGCTGAACTGCAGTTTTTCTTTCACAGGCTCCATAGCAAATTCCAGAATGTGATACGTTTAGGTTACTTTGCCTAGAGGAGACACTAAAGGCTGTTTCTTCATTGTTTGTCCAGTGGCATCATCCAGAATGACTTGAATATATATTTTTTATATATTTGGAAGATAAGATACTCAGACCTTATAGAACTTTTATGTATAGCCAGTGGAGACTTAGTAAAGCAACTGAAGTTTAAAAACAAAGGAGTTTCCACCTGAAACCTGTAAAACAATGATAAATAGTATTATGTGTGAAATTGCTTTGAAAAAACTTGTTTTTGCTGTTTCAGGTTGTGGGTCCAAATAAGGATTTACACTCTGGTGTGTTTGGAGGGACAGTGATAGAACCCATGACTGACCTCATCGGCATCCTGGGTACTTTTCATTCAAATATTTGCCTGTACATTCATTTTTCTGGTGTCTTTATCCAGATCAGACTCTCAAGGAGTTTCTCGTAAATGTTGCAAAGTGACAGAGGGATTTCTGGAGAGCTTAGGTTCCATGAGTGTCAGTGCTGCAAAGTGACAGAGGGATCTCTGGAGAGCTTAGGTTCCATGAGTGTCAGTGCTGCAAAGTGACAGAGGGATCTCTGGAGAGCTTAGGTTCCATGAGTGTCTGTGCTGCTTGCGT